GTATCGAGATTATAACTAATTATTGACTTAAATAATACACGGGATATAGCCCGAGTTCCCTCGAGAGCCGAGAGTTCCCCCTCGACAATACTTCCAATTTCTCACGCGGATGCGTAGCACGCACCGTGAACGTTTCAATTAATCTGTTAAGTACGTTGAACCGTTTTTCTTTTTCCTCTTTTTTCTTTAATTCTCCTTTTTTTTTTTTTCTCCTTTCCTTCTTTCTCCCGTCGAGATAACAACTACGACAATCCTTTCGATTGAAAATCGGAGGAACGCAGGAGGATGGAGAAAAAAAGAGGAAACTCAAAAATCGAAGAAGAAGAAGAAGAAGAAGAAGAGGAAGACGAAGAAGGAGAAGGAGAAGCGAAACTGGAACGGGAACGGAAGCGGCGTCGTAAATCACCGACAGTACGGAATAACTGGCAAAAGCGCGATAAATCAGGGATCCGAGGGCAACCGAATTAGGAAATTGGCTGCTTAAAAACCGCAATGACGTTAATCCCGGCGTGGCGGCAGCTAGAGGATTCAGGCTAGCACTCGCGCCATCGCAATCCGGGGAGAGGGGAGGGAGGAAGAGAGAAAATAAAACTGATCCGGCCAAGGAGCGATTCCGTATCGCGGCTGTGCCGGGTGGAATAATGCGGAATAAAATCAACGTAACTCAATCGCGGTTGTCTTTCGAGATCAGCCTCCCCGTCTTGGCCGCTGATAAATGTTCGATACCGACTACCTGTACACGAACGCCCGTCCCTCTAATTCCCCGTCGACCTCGACGCTCTGTCGGAGCAAGGAAGCGATAAAGCTTCGGCGTCCAAAAAATCTTTCCCAGAAATTTATCACCGTTCGACGTCTCTGGCATGCGAGGCGACCAGAGGTTCCAATCCCCTCCTCTCTCTCTATATATATATTTCTGCATACCGTATTATGCGTTTCCGCGATCTCGCGGGATACATCCGTGAAATACGAGCAGAAAAATATCATCGCGAAGATGAAGAATCTCTCCACCGTTGGTCGAAAACATTCTCGACATTCTAACGCTCGCGTTAGGAAACGATTCGTCGTATAATATCGGATCTCGAAACGGAATCGGTTCAATTAATGAACCGGGGGACGAACTGTTAATAGTGGATAACTGGACGGGCAGATTTTCATTCATTTGGCGACAATGGGCCGGAATTAACGTGGAAGCGCGCATCGACTTCCCTTCTGGAATATGGAATGACCCGTTAATGAGGGTTTTCGCCTCGCGGCGAACTCGGCCGAGCGCGCAGAAACCGCGCGTTACCGATCCGTGAGAATGTATATCGTCGAAGCGATATAAGCATAAGCGATCGACGCGGGACACATATATATATATATATATATATGTATATCGGGGCCGATGTGATCGATTACGACGGTGACGGTGGTCCGCGGGCGTAAATATGAGGGCACGAATCGTGACCGGGACAAACGAACCGGGAACGGACGGACAGAGGCGACCGGGGCGAGTTGACGAGCGCCAATAGACGGCCATTCCGCCTCAACGCATTAATCGAGTTATTAATTATGTAGTCTCATGCTAATTGTGCCTGTAATCTGCCCGCGATGGCCGTAAAATATCCATTCGATTTACGTTTCGATGGATTCGAGAGTTTGGGCGTAAATGATCCGTGCTTGTTTCAACCTGTTCCGATCACTCCCGCCCCCTCCCCCCCCTACGAAACGCGTCATTGTGCTTCTTGCGCGAACCGTATTTCCTCTCCTCGCCGGAATCAACAAACTGCTCTCCTCTTCGACGAATAATAATCCCATGATGACGATCACGTGATGTCCTAGGGAAAATGTTAATCGAAACCGCTCATCTCACGATAATAGATTTCTCGTGGAAATTTTTAAACGTTCCCATGAACGAGAGTTTGATAAAGACCAGACGGGAAAACGCGGGTTATCAGTGGGGGATAACCGATGAAGAAGGGAAAGTGGAGGCGAAATAAAGGAAGGTAAATCGTGTTTTTTTTTTTTTGAGAAATCCCAATGGCGGTGGACACCTGTCGTGTAATCGAGATGCGCGCAAGTACAGCAGTACAGAAATGAAGTGTACGCTCAGTTTTCTGGGATGGGGTGCGTGCAAGAAGCCGCGCTACGGTTATTACACGCGTCACGCGGCACACCACGGTCACGCACCCTCCCCATTCCCGAGCTCCCTCGAAACGACGGGGTCTTATCGTCGCTCTTTATCTTGTCAACCGAAGGGGCAGCCCCATTACGCCACTTACGGGGCACCGAGTCGCGCGCTCACCTCCTTTCGGAAAAGAGGGCAGAGGGAACTAAAACTTGAACGAGGCGGAACTTGCACGCGAACCAAGATGTTACCGCGGCAAGGGAAACGGCACCACCTGCGATCCGACTCGGCGATAAATCGACGGCGAAACCGATATTTTTTTCAATCGTCCCGATTTTCTGTGTTTCTATTAATCGAATTCGAAATCGTTGTTCAATCGCGCTATTACACGCTCCGGATAGATGTGTAATTATAATTAATCGTTCCATTTAATTAATCAATTACGGGAAAAATTATCGCTGCGATAATTGATCCCGCATCATAGTCGTCGTTGAAATGTTGGTTTATTATTACGTGATACATAGGATGGCGAGCAATTTAAAAAAAATCTCCCTTTCTCGAACGATTGCTCGACGTTTCGATGTCGGAGGATATCGTCATTACGTTATCAGTCATCGAGTAACGAACGGTATTAAATAATTACGGTTGACATTTTTTTTTTCCTTTTTTCTTTTTTTTTTTTTTTTTTTTTTTTTTTTTTTTTTTTTTAACAATCGATCGATAATGAGCTGGAATAATGAATGAGAATAAATTGCACGTTGTTACGACACGTTTAAGCATACCTAAATATTAATAACTAGGTTCAGTACGAGATATCGGGTTGATACAGAGCATGTATTTACGACGCGAGATAACACCTGCGCTATCGATACCAATCTATCGACATTCGTTCTTCCCTCTTTTTCCTACGGTATTTGCCGTTCATGTTCCTTTCAACGTAACAGAAATCAATTAGCATTGCATTGCCACTCGGTGCCGGTGGGCACATCGAGCAACGCCGTGACATTTTTTTAACACTATGACGAACGAATCTCCTCCAACGAGTGTCGCATAAATCGTGGAAACTATATCGTGGAACGAGAAACAATTCGACCGCGTTGAAGAAGAGAGAAGCAGCAAAAAGAAGTTCGAAATATATATATATATACATATATATGTACATAACGGAAGAGCTGTAGCAAACGACCCCGAAGGTTGACTCGATCCAGACGGGAGGAAATTTCTCGAGCGTAGAAAAGAAGATGGTCGATCCATACGGAGGGAAACGTACGAAGTGGACGATATAGGTTATCCGATATATACGCAGGGCTTGATATAGCGTGCCAAAACCGCTCCGTCTTGAGGAGGCGGAACGAAGAGAAGAACCGCCGCCGTTATCAACTCGGGCCACGATTGGCCGAGCTCAGACGTGGCTCCCGGAGCGGCCAATGGCGTCCTGGTCTCCGCTTTTCAAGGATTCTCCCCCGAAATCCTGGGTGTGGGCGAAGCCAGGAGGATCGCACGGGGGTGCACAGCGTGGCCTTTCCTCGGCGGATACGCGCACACACACGCCGCCGAAGGAGGCCGCTGCCCACTGGTCACCCCGAGGGGTTCGTTTCCACCGGGAACCCCCCCATTTTCCTTCGCCCCTTCGTTTCTTTTTCTCGTTTCTCCCGACCATCATCCCTCTGACTCTGACCCTCTTCCCTCCCGACTACTCCCCCTCGACTACTCGATTCTTTCTTTCTTCCATCCGGACCGTCTTCCTCCTCTCCCGTCCCCTCTCCTCAAGGACGAGCCCGATTCCTACAATAGCCCGCCTTTTTTTACTCGCTTTTTCTCCAATTCCCCGAGATCTTTCTACTCGCCACATCCACCGCACCGCATCGCTATGGAAGCTGCTGCATCAGAATTGCCAACGATATATATACTTTACTTTATCTCGAGAAGATAGGGAGGATCGGAGAGACGATAAGAGTCTTGAACCGTTATAATTGCAACAAAAAATCTACTTCGAAATGTTTTTTTTTCCGCCCGAGATATCGAGTTTCGAAAACCACCAGCGAGGAAAATGAGATAAAAACGTATGGATCGAATCTAAATCTTCGTTGCTTGGGCGAAAAATGTTAATGCGGACGATCGGTTGTATCGATCTATTCGGCCGTACGAATCTCAATTCCTTCCTTTCGTCGCGTATAATATTTACAGGAATGAGTCGTGAAAGGAGGAAGATAATTGTCATCGTTATAATATTAATAAGATCTCCGAAGGCAGCGATTTCCTCTTGGAATCGCTTTACTCGTTCGTAACTATTCCTCTACTTGACGAGAGAATTATGAAGAAGCTGCGAGTGACATCGCAGCATGTCGGGGACGATATAAGAGCGCCTTTAAGATCCCTAGCCTCTGTCAGCTAGAGCTACTTGATTTTTTCTCTTTTCCTCTTTTCTTTCTTCTTCCCCCTCGATCTGTTATCGTTGCCTGCTCGAACGAGTAGTATACCACAGTTTTATTATTATGCAGGCATAAAAATGTTGAACGTTCCGGACAAGATGGCGGTATCTTCGAATAATTCTATCTCGATAACGTCTCTTCCTTGAAAAGATAAAAAAAAAAAAAAAAAAAAAAAAAAAAAAAAAAAAAAGAAGTGCAATCCCTCGAGTTTTCAAACTTCCATCTATCCATCCATCCTCGACGTAATGGAAAGGAAGGAATAACCTTCCTCGCGAAATTTGTGAAATTAATCTGAGAAATAAGAGAATCGTGAAACCCGATCCGCATTTTCCCCGTATCGTAAAAGGAAAAAGGATTGGCGGGGCAGGTGAATGATAGAGGAGGAGAGTCGTAAATAATCGATAAATAAAAGGGAAGTGATCGCGAGGAGGAAGGAGGGTCCGGGCTATTGATAACATTATCATAAAAGCGGCGTTAAATGGTCGGCCGCGAGGTTACGCCGATGCGGTGGTGGCAAAACGGCTCTATAAATGCGTTTACTTTGAGCCATAAAAGCGGCGTGCTTCGGTTGCCACCGTTAACGTATACCCGCACACCATTCAAACCATGCTCCGTGTATACGCGGACGATGAAGCGATTGTATGCGAGCGCGCATCTATGGAAGGAAACGAGACGTCGAAGCACCACCGCTTTACGGTAAAAGCCCTCTTTGAGGGATCCGTTTATTGGTTGCTAAACATCGATATATTGCTTTCGGGGTTGCGCAAAGAGGCACGCTGTCCTCCGCGTATCCACCTATTCAACCATACGCTCCACTCTTTTCCTCCTCTCTCCGGCTCGCTGCGTACACACACACGCATACGCACACACATACCGACGACCTGCACGCTCGTATAATACATACTTACTACGGCCGCTATATAACGCTTTCTGAGCTTTTGAAAGCGCGCTGCCGCATCGCGTGTCTTCGTGACGCGAATAAATAAAATTTTCGAAATCGTGGAGTGCCGTGCACGGCAATTTTTTACGGGGGGAGGGGACGGGAGGAATGGTTCTGCGGATGTTAAGACGCGATAGTTGGAAGGAAGGGCGAAGGTTGAAGTTTGTTGGATGGGAAAATATAGAGGAATGAGAAGATAAGGATAAAGAAAAAAAAAAAAGAAAAAGAAATGAAAAGATGAAAAATTTATACGAATTGCGTATACGTCACGTTCGCCCAAGATAATAATATCGCGCAAATTGGACGTTTTAGTTTATCCCGGATCTCGGTGTATTCGGATCTCGTCTAGGACGAAAACCGAATACACGCGGTGCAAATTCTCGTAGACACGTGGCTGGATAATATATCCGACGAGAGGCGAGCAACGATGGATGATCGATTGGATGGGATAAAAAAGCGGAATCACAAAGGATCAACGAGCATCTCGCCTCAAAGATGTGTCCCTTCGCTCGAGACGATCCGCTGTCAACTCCTCGCTCACGTTTTCCCTCCCTCGTTGGCCAACACTTTATCTGGGTTGCATCATCTTTGAAACGTTCGTCGAATCCACGAAGACGTAGGGAATATATATATATATATATATATATATACGTAAACGAGGTAAAAAAAAAAAAGAATAACGAATCGGTTCGATCGCTTTCAGAAGGCGAATTAAAAAACGTAACGATCTTGAGGATGCGTTTCTCGTATCCTTTATCAACAGCGAGAAACGAGAATATCCTGGAAAAATTTTATCGAGAAAGTCGTTACGCTAACGATCACGGAATTTCCATGAAATTGCTTATTAAATTACTAACTTTTTCTTCGATGATTTAACGTTGCCGAGGCCATTTGTCTCCGCGGATTGTATCGCCTCACCCCCTGTTAATAAAACAAACCCTGTTAGAGGCTTTACCCTACCTCTACTTACTCGAAAACTTTTGCCATGACTTTCATCATCTGAAAAATTCATCTCTCGTCGTTCTTTCAAATTTTCTTTTCTTTTCTTTTTTTTTTTTTTTTTTTTTTTTTTTTCGGAAATTTATATAAGTCCGTCCTCTTTGTTTCTAATCTTCATGAATATTCGTCTCGAGACGAAGTTCGAACGTTTAACGCTCCCCCCTCCCTCCTCCTTGATTTCAAACGAGCAACTTTATATATCTATTTACGGATCACACATACCGGTTGAAACGAATATTTTTACGAAGAGACGGGGTCCATGGAAAATCGCACGATCGATCCTGAATGAAAATGTCGAAGCGCGCTAGTTTTGGTCGCGACAGACGTGCAGCCGTCGCACGGAAAGACACGCTAGGCTACGGTAATAATAATAGCCAAAATATTCGCCGGTTTATTCCTCGTATGCGTGGATGTGAGCACGATTTCGTGGGATGTCGGCTGGCAACATGTGGTTCGACGAACGCAATCTGCCACTGACATTTCGAATTAAACTCGTCAAGGATTACCCTTATGCTGAAAAAAAAAAAAGAAGGAAAGAAAAAAGGAATATATTTTTCGATGCAAAAATTAACGTCTCGATATCTATATATCAATCGATATCTATATACCGATATCTATATATATACTTTCGATAGGTTCGAAGAACGAGAGAAACATTATTTACTTACGGATGTGTTTGAATCAATGGTATTACTGTATAAGGGAAAGAGCAGAAGAGGCCGCAAAAACTGGAAAAGGGTTCTTATAGTCGTAGCTTTCAAGCTTCGACTAAGCCGATATGCATTCATTATAATAAGAAATGGAAGACGGCGAGTGAAAAGTTTGAACGCGCCCTGGCTTATCAACTTCCTCTGAATTTTCTATTATTTAAGAGAAGTCTCGTTCCATCTTTCATTCACCCTCCCTCTATCTCGTCTGTCTTCGTTCTGGATCGCCTTCCTCCTCGCCTTCCTGGCCATTCGTGGCACTTCCTTCCAAACACGCCGTCGAGGTACCGACCAACTTAACTTAACTTTCTTCTTTCGATGCGGTGCAAAAGCTAAGATGCGCGGCATTTGAAGTTCCCCGAATAGCCATTAGCATATTTATTTGTCATTCAATGCAGCCTTAAACGCGTTTCACCCGTAAAACTGGCAACTTCCTTTCAACTTGTATCACCGTGGATACAACGATAAAGTACATCTTGCTGCTTCATATATATAATATATATATATATATATACAGTTTATCCTTAAAAGTTAAATTCACAGTGAAAAGATAATATAAAAATGTGTCTATAAAATATATTTTCGTTTAGGATAGATATTAAAGTAAATCATTTTTTCGTATGTTATTCAATAAGATAATCTTCGATGCATACCTAATAAAAATCGTTATTTTTTTAGATTACACTCTTGTGATCGAAAATTTTTAAATTATGGTTAAATTTTACATTATTAATAGTATATAATATATAGATAATAAAATTGTATAGAGTATAAAAAATAACGTGGGTAATCAGTCTTCAAAAAGATTTACATTGTCAAAAATCTTATAATATTCCTTTTATATCGTGCGATGGAAAAACATTTAAAAAGATTACTGTATTAAATATTATTTAAAAGTGTTATAGACATAACAAAAATTTAAAAAAAAAAACAAAGGTGTGCATTTTTAATAAATTTGTATATTAAATAACATTAAAACTGAATGAATATTAAAATTAATATGAATTAATTCAATTGAAGAATGTCTTTTAAAATTATAATTATTTGATTATTATTATTTGCGTGAACTACAATATTCATATACAACAATCAGAAAATTGGTTGATAAGAAAATTTTTTATTTTCTTTTTTAATAGACAACTTCTACTATTATATAACATAAACAAAAAAAAAAAATAAATCAAATATTCAATTTACTTTTTTGTCTTAGGGATCTACTCACTACTATATTTAATATTATTCACAACTTTATCGCTTAGAATAAGATTGCAATATTAATAATACTTAGAATTGTAAATAAATTTCAATATAAAATTACAAATAATTGTTTGTTTAAATCTTACCACTATCGCCGAATGATATTTCGCGTCAAAAACTCGAATAACATATTAAGATATGTTTTATAAGATCATCATCCCAGAAATATATTGTAAAACTGAAAATATATTGTATTATATAATTTTGAAAATTAATAATGAAAATATTCAATCGATATTTCGTACCTTATATGTGATCATGAACAAAGAAAAATAAATAATGAAAAAAGGACAGAGATAAAATAAAAATTAGGAAATCAACGCCATCTCTAAGTATTGAAAATAAAATTAATATAAATAAGAAGATGAAATAGTAAAAGAAAGAATTAGTTGTTATCATCAGTTAGCAAGCAGCAAAGATAAGACAGTTCCGAAGATAAGTAGAGTAAGAATTGAAGATCAACGCCATCTTTTCAGTAATTTTAAAGAAATAACTTTAGATAAAAAAGAACAGTATTAACGTGACATCTTATGGAATTTTATGTCATATGTAACATCTGAAATATCAAAAATATACAAAAAAAAATTAAAATATTTTTTATTTCATATCTAATATAGTATTTATAATCTAAATAAGTATTTACATAAGTAAATACACAAAAATTAAATCATTAAAAAAATATAAAAATTTATGCTCATAATTTTTTCATAATTTTATTTTAGAAATTGAAACAGAAAGAATGTTATGTTTCTTTTTCACGAAAATTTATTTATTTTTTCAAATAAATTTTCTCGTTTTGATATTTGCAAAACATTCAGATTTTTTATCGTTGTGCCATACAATCAACAAAAGAAAATGGAAAATTTAAAAAATAAAATCTAAATTAAAACTTTCTATCATTATTTTACATTTTCATAAAAATCATGAAAATAGAAATATTTTATTATTTATTTATTGTTAATATTCATTATTTATTCGAATATTCATATGCAATTTACATACGAATATTCATATATTTAGATATTTGTAGTCTTAGATATTCATATATTTAGAAGTTTGTAAATTTCTATTAAACATATTTCTATTAAATATACTTTAATAAATTATAATAATTTAACGTTAGATTAATTTGAAAGATTAGTAATATTTAAAAGCATGATATATAAAAAAATCTAACCTAAATAATAAATAATAATTAGAAAAAAGAAATGTTACTATTCACAAATATAATAAATACTCGTGATCATTATGTTCGTATAAAATTTTACGTACATAAACGATCACTTGTATCGATTTGAATTTTTCATTTTATAACATGATTGATTAGAGAAATCAAAATGTATGCAATTCATCGTTAGATGCGAAGAATCTATAATTAATATTATCTATAGAAAGTCATCGTGAAGACTTTTGGAAATAATAATAACATAAAATAACTATAAATAACAAAAAATGGAATATTATAATTTACAAAATATAATGAATTTCTAATAAAATATAATAATAATAAAAATTGAAATCTTTAAAAAATTTAAAATTTAAAAATTGAAATTCTCTAATAAATCTATTTTTTAGAATTTAAATAGAAAAAAAAAATTATCATGACGTGTTAAAACTATTATAATTTCGAAACTACCTCGTTTTCGATACTCCAATCATACCATACGTGCACAAAGATGATGAATATTTAAATCAATGTTTAATTTTGATATAATAATTAAACAATATTTAAATTAATTAAATAAAGCTTAATAATTTACAATTAAACTTAATATAATATCAACTTAATAAAAATTTACGTAATTACACATTTCTATTAAAAGACGATTTGTCATTATTGTCAATTTTCCATGGATTGAGACCATGCGCACTAAACTGCGCATTGATTCGTTTTACAGTTGCACCTTAACAGTTTTCTGATTGGTTGGAATGCTGCAATTCCCTATTTACTTCAATAAAAATTGAAATACATACTTTAATTATAAATTTCTATACATTAAATTCTTACAAAGCATACAAATTAAAAATATAATAAATATAATAGATTATTAGATTATATATGATTAATTTATATTATATTTTATTAAAAAAGTCATCCAAATTAGAAAGATTGAATATAAGATTTAAGATAAAAATTAATCTAAAAAGAATATAATAAAAAAAGAAAATTAACACTAAAAGAAATTAACAAAATATTCTTAAATTAAAAAATTTTAAAACACGATGAAAGAACTTAAAACAAATATTAAAGTAAAGAAAAAATTGAAAAATAGATAAAAGAATTTAAATAAAAATTATATTAAATAGAATAAAATAGATATTTGTAAATCTTTTATAGATCGCAATTTGTTAACCTTATTACATCTAGAAAAAAATCATCTACATTATTTAAAATAACAAATTAAAAATTCCATGTTGTCCAATCATTGTTCAACATCGTCGAATAATATAATTTTAAAATATCTTAATTTAAATTTTAGAAATCTAAAATTATATACTTTATTCACAATATTTATATCAAAAATATGTTCATTTTACTTAAAACAATAAGGAAAATAGCGGGAAAGTTTACTTCAATAATATCCCTATAAAACACTAGCAATGACAGTGGCGACATCAATCTTATGAACAGAAGAAAAGATAGTGCAACAACGTGCTTAGCCCATTTTATACAACTGCCGAAATATGATCGTTCATATTGTGTAATTTGTTAATAGTTTATATTCTCTTTCTCCATTTTATTATTGCACAGAAATATTACAAATATTGTATTTTTTAAATTGAATACGCATTTTATATAATATTTCCTCATATAAATATAGAACAAAATTAATATCAACATCGATTCCTATTACTGCCGATATAAGTCACCGGACCTCATGTTTCTCTGCTGGTATTATTTTTAATGTCTTGTATGGTGTACGGATTTAACTATGGATATTCAAAATGAGGTAATATATGTATATTATATATTAAATATATATATATACATATATATATACATGTACATATACACATATATATATATATATATACACACACACACACACATATATATATATGTATATATAAATTTATATAAATTTGTTAATTAATACAATTATTTTAAATAATTTTATAATTATTATGAAACTTAAAGTTAGATTTTTAGTTGCAATATAAAAATTATTATTGAACAAATTAATATAATGTACAATATTACAAATATTGTAATATATATATATAATTATCTATATATAATGTATATATATTTATTGAAAAAGATATTTATTGTGTTTCTGTATAAATCATATTAATTTGTGTAATATATATATTTATATATATTTATATACATATTAATATTTTATATATATACTATATATATATATATTTATATAATATCCTATAATAATTATTTAAAATTATAATAATGTATATAGATAATTATTTAATTAAAAAAAAACAAAATAATTGTAAACTAACTTTATATTTATTTATATATTCATTTTTTTCTATTTATTTTTATAAGCTGTTTAAATTATACGTTATACGATAAAAGATATTTTATTTTATCATAAAGGATATTATATAGATTTTTTATAATAAATAATTTTATAATATAATAATATAATATTTATAATAAATAATATTATTTTTATGAGATATTAAGTCATAAATAAATCTTTTTTTGTTTCAGCTTGATTTCCAATTTTTAGATTTACATGATTTAAATGATAATGATAAGAATCATTTAATAAACATTTTAAAATCTAATGTTACTAATAATACTTTAAAATTACCATGGGATACAGTTGAAGCTAATAATGATACGAATGCCTCCATAACAGAAATTCCACAACTCCATAATCAATGGTATCATAATGGTAATTATTTAAAATTATCTATTATTCTATTATTATAAAATATATTATAAAATATTATAATTCTATTATAATATTTTTATTTTTATGTTTTATTTAACTTCATTTTTCATTTATTAGTGCCACCACCACCCTCATATGCACAGCAAATAGTATGTAGCGATTGGCAAGGACCAGCAATGTATCCTGTTCCAACAGATGCTCATATACAACCATTTATGCCTGCAATGACTTATTCTCATCCTGGATATAATCTTGGAGGTGAGATTCATGATGTTAACTGTAATAGAGAAACTAATAGAAGAAATAATAGAGGGAGAGGAATAAAAAGAGATAATTTTAATCGTGGAATAAGTACTGCAAATGAAATGCAACCAGGATACATGGGAGAACAAGGACAATTTCATCCTCCTTTATCTTTTGTTGTTATGTATCCAGATCAAACACAACAACAGCAATTCTCTGGTCATGTTCATTATCCTCCATTAGCTATATATCAGCCAAATATTCATACAAGCACACATCCTCATACACAACCTACTTATGGATATTCTCCATATCATCATCCTTCAGGAAATATAAGATGTGTTCGACAAGCAGCACCTATGCTTTCTCAATCTACTCAAGAATGTACAAAAGTACAAACCACAAAATCTCATGAGAAACGAGTGCAAAATGTTTATACGCCTGTCAAACAACCTTTTCATCAAGTAAATGAAGAAGATAATTCTTCGCAGACCAATATAGTTACTACAGTAATAACTGTAAATAATAGTAAAGTAGAACAATGTACTAATAATGTGGATGAAAATATTATCAATAGAAAAAATTCAACCACAAATGGAAAAGTACCTCCTGTTAATGTTAAAATAGAGCATAACATTGTATCAACTGTAAATGAAAAGTGTAATGGAGCTGAAAAAAATGATGTACCATGCGTAAATATTAATAGTAGTATTGAAGTGAAACAAAATGGAGAAACCAATAAAGAATACAAAAATGAAACTGTTTCTAGTATTAAAACTACTGTTGTTAAAACATTATCAAAACCAATTTCTAAAAATGAAAGTGAAATACATAAAGAAGATTCTAAAAAATGTATCCAAGACGAAATTGTCATTAAAACACCAAGCAATTCATCTAATGCAATAAGCTCTCCTGCTACATCATTACCAACTTTATCTAGTGTATCTTGGGCTAGTATTTTAAAAAAAGGAAGCGCAGAAACACAATCAAATCCATTAAATTACAAACCAACAGCACGCATTAATCCTCTATTGATTACAGAAAACAATACAACACCAAAAATTATACAATCAATAGAGAAAGATCAATCTAACACAACATTATTTATAAATGAAAATATATCATCCAATTTACAAAATATTGAAAATGAAAATAAAAAACCACAAACAGAATCCTTACAGAATCATTACAATGATCCTATTGCTTTTCGAATGGGTGGTGAGTAAATAAAATTAATAGACAAAAATAAATTTTTTTATTTAAATATCTAATATCTATCAAATATATATCTTTCTAATATGATATTAATATCTTTTATTATAGAATTTTTACTAAATTATCAAATGGATAAACAAACTGTCAGTTTATTACCTAGAGGACTAACAAATCGTAGTAATTATTGTTATATTAATAGTATATTGCAAGCTTTGCTTGCTTGTCCACCTTTTTACAATCTTTTAATGGCTTTACCACATTCTAAAAATCCTAGTAAAATGTCTTCCACTCCACTTATTGATAATATGTAAGTAAAGTTAACATTTTTTACAATTTTTAATGTAAATATTTTATTAAATATTAAATATATATTATGTTATTTTAATATTTCTAGTAAATATTAAATCATTTTTTTATACAGGATCAAATTTGTACATGAATTTACACCTTTGTCAGATGGTGCACGATTAGCTAGAAAAGATAGAGCAAATAAACGAGGAGAAGATGTAGTAGTAGATATACAAAGTGGAGTGGCTTTTGAACCTTTTTATGTATATACAATGTTAAAAAATACATCAGCTGCAGGTGTGTTTTCAGTAGAAGGACGACAAGAAGATGCTGAAGAATTCCTTTCGTGCCTTCTGAATGGTATCAATGACGAAATGCTTGAAGTATGATCATAATAATCATTTTAATCGAATTTTTATTTAATTTTAATTTAAATTTTAATTCGAATATAATATATATATGTATAATATATTTATTTTTTCCCAGCTTATTAAATTAGTAAATAATGACCAAAATGTAACGAATAATATTGAAAGTAATATAAATTATAACAATGGAGAAGAAGAATGGAAGGTAAAATATGATATATGTTTGTTAAATAATGTAACAGTTAATTATAGAACAATATTAATATTAAAGTTTGGCTTAAAGGTTATGGGTCCAAAAAATAAAGGATCTATTACACGGTGTACTGAATTTGGAAGAACACCATTGTCTGATATATTTCGTGGACAATTGAGATCTAGAGTATCGAGGGCAGGAGAGCAACCAACAGATAATGTCCAACCTTTTTTTACGTTACAACTTGATATTGAAGTACTATCCTATAAGAAATCCAATATATATTATTTATATTAATATAATAATAAAATATTTTATTTTTAGAAAGCAGAATCTGTTAAAGGTGCACTAGAAATTCTTGTTGGAAAAGATCAATTAGAAGGAATGACATGTAGTAAAACGAAACAACAAATAGAAGCTTGGAAACAAGTTACTTTAGAAGAATTACCTGTCATTCTTATATTACATTTAAAATGGTTTGATTACAAACTCGATGGTTGCTCAAAAATTGTGAAAAGTGTAGAATTTCCAATTGATTTAAAATTGGATAGCAGTTAGTAACATTTTATTAATTTTTGTGTTTCCTTGAATTTAAAACATTTTAAATCATTCTAAATTTTTTTGTAGAATTCCTGTCGCCAAATGCTATAAAAAAATTAAATCCCAAGCAAAAACATTATAAATTATTTGCAGTTACTTATCATGATGGGAAAGAAGCAACAAAAGGTCATTATGTTACAGATGCTTTTCATGTTGGATATGGTGGTTGGGTCAGGTATGATGATAGTTCATTAAAAGGTATTTCTGAAAGTAATGTATTAAAACCTACACCTCCGAGAGTTCCATATTTATTATATTATCGACGATGTGACACTATTGGAAATAATCAATCAAATAGTGGTAAAATACGTTAAAATCAAAAAAATTAATTATGAATATAAATAAATCTATATTCTAAGCCTAAAGAGGCAACTTATGAAAATAGATTTTATAGATTTGTGGTTCTTGTTGATATTTGTATCTAAGTACAGAGAATGTTTCTCAATCAATATCAAGAAAAAATAGAAAAATATTTCCTTTTAATATGCTTGTACTTTCATGAAACATTTGTACTAAGATTGTTGTTACGAGATTTATGCATAGTTTTCTTAATACGCGAAATAAATAATAGTTAAAGTTGAAGTTAAAGAAGAGTTTTGATTTTGGTATTCATAGTTCTATCAAAGTTAATAAGTGCTTACACATTACATTTTATCAAAATATTAAATGTCACAATCTCTTGTACATATCTTTCTTATTCTATTATGAATCTGTAATGTATAAATCATATACATAATAATCTTGTAGAAAAGAGAACAAAAATAGTGAAAGGTTTTTCTACTTTAATGACAAAATTTCTATGAAATGCAAATTTTATATATCTAAAAAAAGATACATCTTATGCCTTAAGTTATTTTTGTATATAACCTTCCTACGCCCCTATTCCAACCTATCAATTATTTTATTTTATTAGCATATATTAACTTAATTAGCTATTTTTTAATCAGAAAAAATATAAATAAAAAAATTCTATATATATGTATATGGAATTTTTATATATATATAAAGTATCAATCATATATTATTATAAAAAATATAAATATAAATTTTTCAAACCAAAGAAATAATTGGTAAGATGGAATACGAATATTATCAGTGGGGAAGATTGTATAAATAAAAATACATGAAATTTGTGTAAAAAATTGTCTTGTGTGTGTCAAAGTTGTATCTTTAATTACAAATTCTTTTTATATATATATTATTGCTATTGTATTTTTTATGTATTAACAAATGTAAGATTACATTTTCCATTTTTTCAAACAAATTTAGTAAATAGATTAATTTAATGATTATACGCTTGTATTTAGAAATGATTATTTGTATTTTTGTTTTTATTATTAAAATACTTAATTTATTTTAAGATACTTATTATCAAAATGTATTAAGAGTGAAAAAGTAAAAATTATTGTTTACTAATTGATTCTATATAAATTATGAATTTAATATTGTTTTGCTTTTGGATTAATATATGTATAATTTTGTAACTTTCCTGTTTTTCAATCTTTTTTTATTGCTTCTAGATTATATTATTATATTAACATATTAAATATAATGATTTAATACAATTTTAAAATAATAATTTAATAAAACAGCAAAGTTACAGAATCCCATTGCGAAACATCTTATTTACATTTTATTTTCCAAATAATGTAGATAAGAGTTCTTAGTAAAATAACACTTCCTGTGGAAATGTATATATATACATTTATAATAATATATATCTAAGATTTATAAAAACTATAATAAAAATATGTATATATATGTTATTAAAATTCAATCATTATTTGTTAAAAATTATTTATTGTTTCAAATACTTACGTTTAATTTTAATTTTTTTATTATAATATTATGAGAACATATAAAATTCATATAAAAATTACAGTTAAATAATATATTTTAATAAATAAAGAACTCTGTAATACCTCTAATAATTACTTATTTTATTCATATTCTGTATATTTATTAATAAAATAATTTTATGTATTAAGAGTTTTATTTATATTGTATTTTATTGTATTTTATAATATATTATATAGTTTGAAATCCTCCAAAGTATGTAATACTTATCAAGAATATTAAACAGATAAAAGAAATGCATTCAGTAAATGAAAGATGCTAAAAATGTGGCAGACAAACTTTACCAGCAAATAATTCTGAAATTACTGTAATCCATAAAGCTAAAACAAAAAGTATATAAGAAATGCCAACTTGATGCGAATTTGGTAATTGATATGGTTGTCCACCAATTTCATCAATATGGAATCCCATTGGAAATATAACAGCTGCTAAGCAAAATAGTACCACTGAAATAAAGTTTATATTTTATAATGTATAAAGAATTATTTTCCAAAAAAAATTAACATTATTAATTATACTTACTAGCTGTAAATCCTACCCATCTTGCATAAGGGATGACATTACGATCCCAATGAGAACTAGCTAATAATATTATAGTGGCTGTTATTAAAATGCAACCAACAAAAATACAAACAAGAGCCATAAACCATTCTGGCTGTAAATCTGGACTATAACAAACTTGAGGTCTATTATACAAAGTCATGCATGACCACATTAGTCCTAATCTTGTATCTCCTGAAAAAAAACCAAAATAAAATATTTTATATAAACAATATAAAATATAAAATATTTTATATAAACAATAATGATAATATATAATTTACTATTTTTAGAAATAGCTTAAAATCATATAAATAATAAAAAATAATAAAAATTATTGAATCGTTAAATAAAAATCATGTCATTATTATAAAAAATCAATAAACAAAAATATTACTCACCACCGACATCAGTTATAATCCAATCAGGCATTGCAAGGCTTACAATTGCGAATACATCGGCAGCAAGAAACAATGTTCCCGAAATAATTGTTAATTTATCCATTATGTTAATAATAATTAATTTCATTTTAATGTACTAAAAGTAAATAAAATTATCATTATGGAAATTTTATTTTCTAATTACTTGAATAAAATCTAATATATTTAAAGTTTTTTCGTTTAACCAATATTACTTCTTTGTACGTTATACATATAGTATACAGTTTTCTAACCTAACTTTTGTGTAACTTATTTATATAGATATATAAAAATAATATATATAAGATTAAACAATTTAAAAAAAATCAAACAATTAAGTGAATTAAATGTAGTAAATAAAAAATACAATTAATATATATTATTTTTATACTTGTAAAAAAAATAACTTTTTTACAAATAGTGAATTATATTTTATGTACATATTTTTATCACACAATTCATTTAAGTTTTTCATATACAACTCTATTTTTATAGTAAATAAAACATTTTAAATATAATTACTAAATAAAATATTTTGCTCCAGTTAAAGAGTATTTGAATATATAGAATGATTTCGTCGTTTAAACTTCTTACAATTGGGTTCAATTTGAATGAAATGATTACCTGAAATATAAACAATATATTTTACTATATAATTAATTAAAACAATAATGTGATACATTATAGTGCAAAAATAATGTATCACTCACTATCATCTGTACAATCATAATTTACTGTTGATGATAAACTGTTAAGACTTTCATTTACAATATCTTTACTGTTATTTATTTCTGATTCTTGTTCTTCATTATTACTTTTTGGAGATAAATTTAATGGTGATGTTCGATTAAATGAATCACTAGTTAAACTTCCATCAAATGTAGAATTTAAAATGTTATCTTCATCAAAGGAAGCAGAAATTTCATGAGAACTTGATATTTGGTCACATGATGTTTCCATTAATGATTCGTTTGATTTAAATTCTTTTGTATTATTCATTAATAACAATAAAACAGATGGATCATCAATGCCTAAAGTATTACAAAAATGTGTTGTTTGGATATTTACTAATAATTGTGGTGGTTCCACTGATATATCTATAGCATCAGGATTATATGGTTTCACTGTTTGTGTAAAATTTAATGGAATTTGTAAATTATAATTAAATTTTTTTAAAACTAATGCCTTTTCCTCTACAGTTGGTGTAAATATCCATCTAGTATTACCATATTGTCCAGGCATATAATGAATTCCACTTTTGACACTCAATAAATGATTTGTTAAATATAGTATTGTTAACCATTCTAAGTCATAATGTAATTTTAATGGTAAATCTAAATTATGTTTTATTTCAATTACTTGAAGAAATTTTCTTTTTGGAAGACATTTATCTAGAGCTAGAAATTTAGTTATTCTTGTGCCTTCTTTTTCAGGAACAAGTGCTGCAAATTTACAATGTAAATGTGCAGAAAACCAATAATTTGGATAATGATGTTCTAAAAGTTCCATACATGGTGGACTACCAAGCATGTTATTTTCAATATCATTTCTACAATGAAAAAATAAATTATTAAAAATATTTATATTTTCAAAAATTAATATTTTAAAATTTTGCATTAGCTTACTTGAAAAATGGTTTCCCTTTTAATAAAATATTTTCATCTCCATATTTAGTTATGCCTGAAGGCCAATCATGAGATAAGAAAATATCAATATTACCAGTTAGCTACAAATAATATTATCATAAATAAAATAAATAATAAAATAATGAAATATAATAAAACAAAAAATAATGTAACAAATGAAAAATTGTTATTTTTCTTAAGATACATTAAAAAAGAAAAACATATTACCTGTTTTAATCTAAATATTTCTAAATTTCTAATATGATATACACTTCTAATTGTATTTTCATTATATGGTGGTTTCTCATGATGTCCTTGCATCCAATGTTGACTTTTATAAATGCCTGATAATCCTGCAATTCTAATTCCACCTATTGTTATTACATTAGCATATCCTAAATAATAAATATTAGGAGCTACCCATCCACCATATGGTAATTCTTGAAGATAATTTGAAGCTTCATGATTTCCTCCAATAAATATTGTTAACACAGGAGCAATTTTTTCTCCAGAGTAATACCTATAATATATTATAAAATTTTTAAAATTTAATTCTCATTTTATATTATACACAATATATTAAATATTAAACTCACTTATAAAAGGTACACATGTCTTTGTATTTATCAGGTACTGCCATACAATGTAAATCACTTAAATTTCTTATCGATTGAAAATCTCCACAACAAATGAGTAAATCTATTTTTTTTCCATTAGTTTTCTCCATTTCTTGAATAGTTTCGTAAATAATATCCAATTCACCGTGTGCACAACCTTCCACAGCAATTCTCATTTTTACTTTTATTTATATATATTCATTAATAAATGATACATTTACTATTTCTCATTCACTGTTATAATTAAAGCTTAAGTATAATACCAAAAAATGTCAAAATATTAAGAAAAATATAGAATAATCACATATTCTAACCTAACCTAAAGATTTGTCACTATAATCGCCATTTTTTTTTTTAACTTAGCATCTATATTACCATAGTAACATTAATGCTATGAAGTCTGCTTATTTTCGAAGTATTTAATAATCGAAATTTGTATCGAATACTTAATATATGTAAGATAATGATAGTACGACAATTAGAACAAGTAGATAGAAGATGTATAATTATATTTAATCCATAGTGTAGTGTATTTATATCAATTATGAGTTTAATTTCCTCAACCGAAGAAGGATGGATAATATCCCATTTAAAATATCTTAATAATATTTATGCAAATGTAAAAAATGGCAGCACTAAATGTAAACTAATTTTTAATGAAGTATTATTTGAAATAAATTCTCAATATTTACGAGAAAATCAAACAATTCAATGCGAGCAACAAGATGGAATTTCATTACAAAGTAAAACTAGGAAAAGAAAACGATTAAAACTTTTACCAGATGAAGATTTAAAAGAAGTATAGTCGCTAGAAATAAAGAATTTAAAAATCTAATTATTGAACATAAATATAATTATAAATATAATTTATTTTGCAGATAAATTATATTAAACAAACATTCAATAAAATGATTTCAAAAACAGAGGGATTATTTTCTACTAATATACTATCTGATAATAATGAAGCAGCACGTTTGGCATCTCAAAAATTTTATCAAGATACATTTTGTAATGAAAAAGAAAATTTTTATGGTTGTAACGATATGGATATAGTTATTACATCGGAGTTAAAAGAAAAAAGATATGTTTTCCCTCAAAAATGTAAATTTTATTGCTATGATGTGAGAGACATTGCGAAAAAGTTGGACCTAAACAACCAATATGATTTTATATTGTTGGATCCTCCTTGGTGGAACAAGTCCATAAGAAGAAAAAAAACCAGATATTCAGAAGCTAGGTGATCTTGTATGGTTCAATATAAGCCATTAAAAAAGAAAGCTCTGAACAATTTAATGAGAACAAGTACTTTGATAATAGTATAAGTTTTTCTTGTTCTCAATTTTGTGAGTATATGGGTAAATAAGATTTTAGATGCAACTTATCACCATAAAAAACTCATATTGAATAATATTGATATAGATTTTATCATATTGATCAATTGTATTTTATATATATAAAAATATTTTTAATAATAATGTTATAAATAATATTTTATATCATACAAATTATTTTTTATATTTTTTTGTTAAATAGCTATAAAATGATGTACAATGAAGAATTGGCTAAGATACCAATTGGTAAATTATTATGTTCAAATGGACTTGTAGCAATATGGTGTACCAATGCTCCAAGTCATTTACATAGTATTTTTAATAATATATTTCCGTCTTGGGGTGTTACATACAGAGCAAAATGGTATTGGGTTAAAGTAAGTACATATATAATATAATATATATAATTTATAACTAATAATGGCAGTTATATATACTATATATTATAATTGACATTAATATTTTAGATAACTCAAGGAGGAAATACAATATGTAATTTTAATTGTGCACCTGGTAAACAACCTTATGAACTATTAGTTTTGGGATCTGTATTAAATGGAAATGAAATAAACATTCCTGATGGTAGATTATTAATAAGTGTACCAAGTGCAGTACATTCTCATAAACCACCACTTACAGGTAAAAATCATATATTATATGATTATATATCAGATATAAAAATTTATATTAAAAAGTGAATGAAGATATATAAAAATATTACTTTAATTTTTAGAAGTTATGAAAGATTATCTTCCAAATGAACCAAAATGTTTAGAAATATTTGCTAGATATTTGCTTCCAAGATGGACAAGCTGGGGTCTTGAGGTGTTAAAGTTTCAGCATTTATCATTGTATACAATATTAGAAGAAACAAAAGATACTCAAAATAAATAAATAATAATATAAATAAAATAATTAGAATTAAATTTTAAAAAAATTAAATATTTAAATATTATTGTTTTTTTATTTAATAATGATAAAATAGCATTATTACAAAGTGCCATTTATATATTCATTAATACCGTTTTTTATCGAATTACGATAACCATGTGGATTCATAGTTTGCCATCTCCAGAAATCTTCACCTATATTAAAAAATATTTTTAAAATAACATTTTAAAAAATGTAAAAAGATATAGTAATATAAATTGGCATACACATCCGTTCAACATTATATTTAGTTGTCCATCCCAATTCTTTTTCTGCTAAATCTGTATTAGCATACATAGATACTATATCACCCTCTCTTCTATCCTTAATAACATATGGTACTGTTGTCCCTGTGACATTCTCAAAAATTTTAATTAATTCAAGTACAGATACACCTTTACCAGTACCTAAATTATAAATTTTTAGCCTCAAATGTTGTTTATGTAAAGCATTTAAAGCTGCTACATGACCAGCAGCTAAATCCATAACATGAATATAATCACGTATACCTATATAAAAATAAATACATTTTAATAATATATTTAAATAATAAATAATAAATTCTTTATATTATATAGAAAAAAAAACATACCTGTACCATCTTTTGTAGGATAATCACCACCAAAAATGACAAGTTCAGGTTTATGTCTTAAAGCTACTTGTGCTATGTAAGGCATTAAATTTGTAAATGGTTTTGTAGGATCTTCTCCAATCAAACCACTTTGATGAGCACCTACTGGGTTAAAATATCTTAGGGAAATAATATTCCAATTCTGTTAAATAAAAATAAAAAAATCATATATTTATATGTTTCAATTTCATTGAAAACTTTTTTTATTGATAAATTATCAAATAAATTATTTTTTTTTATTTTTTGGAATTATTTTTATAACGTATATTTATATAATTATATTTTTTTTCAATTAAAAAGCACCTTTTCAGCTCTCGATATATCTTTAAGCATTTCTTCAATAAAATATTTTGTTCGACCATATACATTTGTGATATTTCCCGTTGGATGTTCTTCTGTAATTGGAAGTTGATTTGGTTCTCCATATACAGTACAAGAACTACTAAATACTAATTGGAAACATCCAGCAGCTTTCATTACCTTATAAAAAAATTAAATTTATTTTTCTTAAATATGTATATAAAGACTTATTCAATTAACATTTTACCTCTAACAAATTGATGGCACCGATAATATTATTTCGATAATAGTGAAGCGGAATTTGCATTGATTCGCCAACCGCCTTTATAGCCGCAAAATGAATTACACAATCTATTTTATGCTAAAATACAATAAAATAATTTATTATAAATATTTTTAAATTATAAAATAATTTTAGATAATTTTTATTTTATTCATATTTTACTCATATTATACCTTATTAAAAACTATTTCAAGTTTATCTCGATCAATGAGATCGCAATTATAAAAAGTAACTTTTTTCCCTGTAATTTGTTCCACTCTTTTAAGAGCTGCAGATTCACCGCTTTCAGTTACACTATTAGCAAAATTATCTATTGCAATAACATCATATCCACTTTCTAAAAGTTCAATGATACAATGACTACCAATGTAACCCGCTCCTCCAGTTACAAAAATAGTTCTCCAATCTTTGGTCATATTGCTATTAAAAAAATAAAAATACCATAATGCATATATTTTCTTATATTATTTACGATAATTTTTTGAAATCTTTATCTTTCTAAAATTTTTAACTTCATCTTATTAAAGATTTTTTGCTTGAATCAAACTATTATGTTTAAGGGTGGAAATCTCATTTTTTTTTATTAATTATGTGTATGATTTTTTTTTAATATCACATTCAATTTATTTTTATAAGTAAATTATATTGTTTCTTCATTTATATTTATCTTTTTTTTTTTATATTTTACAAGTTAATCAAAACAAAATATATTTACATAAACAAAAATAATATATAAATATATATCATAGTACATACAAGCTAAAGTATAAAAATGTTTCGGACATTCACCTGTATCAAACTGAGTTCTAGGTCGTTGAAACACGTGGTAAATAATTATAGTTTATTAATTAACACAAAATTATAAGCTTTATATTAAATATAATTAATGTAAAATTAAATTAAATATTTGATCTAATCTTTTATTTTTTAAATTAAAAATAATGTCTTATAAAATAATAAACAATTAAAAAAATTTATTCTAAAAAAAAATATTAATTTTGTGAAAAAATTCATTGAAAAAATAAATATAGAAAATAAAAATAAATAAATATTTAAATTACTTACGATTGATGAATTTTACGATACTAAAATCGAATTTTAGCATATTAGATACATAGAATAATTTTTATATTATTTTGAATTAACATATTAAAATATGTATGAAAAATTTTTGATTTTTTATTATTTTTTATATATATAAACATAATAAAAATATAAAAATAAAAAATATTAATTTATAATTTTTAATTTTGTTATTTATAATTTAATAACTTATTGAATGTATGATAAACATAAAAAAATTTCTTTGTTTTTTTATAAATATTTTATGGCAATTAATGATTAAAATTAAAATTTACATTTAGAAAAACATTTTTTAAATAAGTTATTTATTTTTAAAAACATTGTAAAATGTCATTTTGAAATATATTTTATTAAATATATTTTATTAAAAAAAATATAAATACAATTAATGTATAATTATATTTGTGAAAAAATATTACCTTAATAAAATAAAATTATGACGTCAAACGAATTCAGAAAGATTCGAGGACGAGTTCGCGTAATCACTGACTCTACCTCGATTACTTGCGTCGTCTTCTGATATAGGAAAGTAGAGTTTAGTATATTCGTGGAACGCGAAATATCCCCTCTTTTATAATACAATCATACGACTCATTGTAGAAATACGTATACTATACACATCGACCCTCTGCTTTCTGCTGCACAAGTTCTTCCTTTCACACTATTGAGATATTGTCTATCTATTTTTCTATCTTGTTTGCAAGAATGAGATAAAAATAATAGCTTAAATAGGAACTGGAATTATATATTATGTCATATATTATGTCAAGTGATTTCTATTGAATTAA